AACTGCCAGCACAACGGCGAAAGTTCGTCAGAGAATGGTTTATGAGATACGGGATACCCCAACGCTTACATTCTGACCAAGGTAGAAACTTTGAGGGACAGATTATCTCAGAGCTGTGCAAGATATACCAGATAAAGAGGAGTCGCACAAGCGCATACCACCCAGAGGGGAATGAGCAATGCGAGCGCTTTAATCGGACCTTGCATGATTTGTTAAGAACACTCACTCCAAAGCAGAAACGGAGATGGCCTGATCACCTTCCGGAGCTTCTCTTCTGGTACAATTCCACCATTCATGCATCAACTGGATTTAGTCCATTCTACCTGATGATGGGAAGACACCCAAAGTTACCTATAGATACCATACTTAACCTAGAGGAAGATGAGTCTCTCGTCCCAGTCACTGACTTTGTCGAGCAACATGTTGAACGTCTAAAGGAGGCGTACAGAAAAGCAGGGGAGCAACTGGAGAGAGCAGCACAGGCTAGGGAGAGAATGGTGAAGACAGCCAGAGATACAGATGGACTCGAACCAGGAACTGTAGTGTTACTTCGTAATCGTGTGACCGGCAGGAATAAAATTCAGGATGCGTGGAGCAAACATGAGTATGTTGTGTTAAGGCGTATCGACCCTGAAAAGCATGTCTATGAAGTATACCATAAAGACGCTCCTGACGACAGACGGATTGTGAATCGAGTACACCTTAGAATTAAAGCGAAAGCAGATACTGTGACACAAGTGAACAGAGACCATTCTGACAGAAAGAACACTACAACTGTGGTGCGTGATTGTGTCGATAGTGATGGATCTAGTGGAAGCTCATCAGACGATGAATATCTTATGTTGGATGATTCTGGTACGTTGGTATCTTCACCTGTAAGAGATGCGCCCATATCTACACCTGTAAGACTTCGCCGTAGTACTCGAGTTACAGCAGGGAAGCACAGTAATGTCCATCACTTACCACAAAGCTCTGTATCTCGTTAGAGACTTTGTCTATGTGTCAGTTATAGTTATGATCTTGTGAATATGTTTTGATTACAATACCTCTTGTATTTCAAACTTGATTTTTATGCTAGTCAAGTTTTCTGAAATTTGAAGTTGTATGTAAATTCATTTTTCTTGTGTGTAACAAGGGACGTTACTTCTATAGCAGGGGAGAATGTAGACAAGTGCAAATTTAATATTTTTACATCATGTACATCACTTTCCAATTTTATCAGAACGTAATTTTTAGTATTTGTTGGAGCCGAGGCTGACGTCATTACTCGTCACGCTGCAGCCAGAACCACATGTCTGAGTGAACGTCGGCCTTAGCATAGCATTTTGTATGTTTGAAGTACTAAAGTTAAACAGGTGTGTATTGTGTATTTTTGCTACTTTTTACCTAGTGTGCATTTATGTAAATCATTATAAGTATGCATGTCTTAGAATTTCATGATTTGTACATGAGTTGTGTATTCGGTGAACTTATTTCCCGCCAGACGCTACATGTGCGCCAGTTTAGGAGATCATGCTTATCGATAGAATTGATAGAATTATTGAGTAATTAATAATGTCATATGTTTCTGTATCATAGTTATGCATTATAACAAGGTTGTTGCAACTTTATTTCTAGTTTTAATGTAATAAACGTAACTTTGAGAAATTTGTATGTAGTATTCCGGAATTACGGATTCCTCAGTTCGGAACTAGGTCTAGGTTTTACTTTTAGTAGGCGATATGTGTTTCCTGTTTGTTTGTTTACCGATAAGTTGTTTTGATTTGTATGCATTTAATAGTGATTCAAGGTAAATTGAACATAGGAATAGATTGTATGAATAAGATTTCATGATGTAGCAAATGTTCAATGATTTCTATACATTTTAATGTCATTGTTGTTCATAATGATAAGGGAATAACTTGTCTTTGTTAACTTTGACTTGTGACCCTGATATATGATATATCAGTTTGATGGTATAGATGTTGATGGATAAGTCTATTACTTTTCTTGGCTGAATACATGTAGGAGTCTGTTATTTGGTAACGACTATGTATTTTGTTCTTTAATAAGAGTCAAGCTAGGTATCAGGACAGTTGTTTATTATAAAAGTCAGTATCTGTGTCATATTAAGTTGACCAGTTTAATCATATTAGTGTTTACACTTTATCGTGAGTACATAATAGTACCATGTCTTATATTTAGTGTAGGTCTCACTATATATGCTTTTATATGACTTAAGTGTTAAGTAGGTTGATCAAGAGTTGTGCATGCTCATGCTACTAGGGTTTATTTATGAAATAACATCATGAACCATCATTCAGTATATACACTTTGTACATACTTTATTACTGTTGTTTATTAATGTACTTTGTTCTTTGCAGATATCACTGCTGCCTTTTGGTTTTACTAAATAAATTGGTGAACCTAAACAAAAGTCTTATCGCTTGGCTACAGATATATTGGGTAAATTTTAATGAAAAAAGCACAGGATTTGCAACCGTATTGCCGCTTTCAGATTTTGGTTCTGGTTTCAGTGATTTAAATTTGAGTTGAATGTATTACATAGTACTAAAGAAATAAAAGCAAATCTAATAGTTACATGCTTAAATTATTCCAAATTTTGTTCGTGCGCCGACAGGCCTTATCGGTCTTCATATAAATCGTCATAATATTATTAATATGAAAGATATATATTTAAAAATTCACAATTTTAAAGAACATTGAATATATTATATCTATGCAAAATTTGGTTAGTGTTGGTTGCATGTTTAAAAAATTATAAACATTGTCTGTGACTTTTTGGGACAACCCTTGTACGTATTATCTATAGCTAGAAAAGCTACTACTGTAAATATTTTAGCTCCTCAAAGAAGCACAATGTATATTTATAATTAGCAACTAGTGCTTCTCAGAGGAGTGATTATCAGACAAGCTATGTAGAATGAATCAATTGTTAGAATCCCTTGACACTCCCCACATAATGTCATACATAAGCTCCTCAAAGGAGTATCATTATCTAAAATTTACATTAAACTTCCCCTTCCTCACTTTTTAGGAACTGTTCTCATTTTCCGTATGCTTGAATATATACAAGAAAGATAACTCTTTATTATTTTCCGTACACTTCTATTAAGATGGGCAAGAAGATATTCCTTTCGCTCTTTGAAGGAGTACTTTTTAAAAGAATTTTATAGTATCGACTTTTAGTTTACGCCTAGATACTCAACAGTAGGGTTAAGTCTATTTTAAAGTGTCCATAGATCATCTCTCCGCAAAAGTACAGATATTAATTATCGGCTACTATTCATGCATGAAACTGTAGCATCTAACCTGATCACCTGTTGAGTTCTCTCATTGACTTACCACTGGATGCTTAACATGCTAGAAGTCTAGTTGATTTTATTAAATATACTCTGAGTGAATTAAAAGAAAAAAATAGCTGAATATATGTTAGTGATCTTGTAATTTGTCCATATGACAAAACCCATGTAGTCAGGGCGGGAAGATTATCTCATCATTTCATATAATATACCAAAAATATTTCAACAAAAGATTTCACCACTCGTGAATATAACTTTTCTCACAAAATCAAAAGAGGCGAAGGCGCCAAACATTACCATTGTGAGAATAAAAAACAATATCAAAAGCATCCATTACTTAAGCCATTCAATACCTTCAAAGCTTAACATAAAGCGTTTCACTTAATATTTACACACTGACCCAGATAGCAAGCTGACGTTGGGCCGATGTTGGCATATGAATGGTAGATCGGCTACATATCGCGGTTGGCAGAACGATATTGGGCCAACATCGGTCCGACATTGTCATTACAACAGTTGGTGTATTGACATCGTTCCAACATCAGTCCGACATTGTAATTACAACAGTTGGTGCATTGACATTGTACTAACATCGGTCCGACATTGTCATTACAACAGTTGGTGCGCTAACATTGTTCCAACGTCGGGCTAACATCAGGCACGTAGCAACGTTTTTGAAAGAGAGAGGGGGTGCAACCACATTATTGTTTTTTACTTACCTAAAAAAGTTGACAAGCAAAACGACGGGAGGGGGGGGGGGTAGTGGCCAACTTTTTTCAAGGCCAACTTCCTAGCACTTCCAATTTTTTGCTATTTTTTCTTGATATCACTATATTGTGGTAAAAAGTGGGGGGGGGGCATCCTTTCAATGGACATTTTCTGTAGTAAAGGTAATGTTGGGGAAAAAGTTGGGGGGGTGGGGTCAGGCCCCCCTGCCCCCCTGTTGCTATGTGCCTGAACATTGTTATTTTTAATGTTGAAGTATGGACATCTTTGCAATGTTGGCCCGACATTGTTGAACCAACTTATATGTTGAAACGTTAAAAAAATTATTTATTTATTTTATTTTTTATTTATTTGTTTATTTATTCATTTTTAATTATTTAATCCTTACGTAGATTTTCAAAACTATGGAAAATAACTTAGATTTTTCTCTAAAACTATCGACTAATAGTACAATTACATCGGGATCGAAGTCGGGCTCGATGAGCAATTAATTTAAAAAACACGTCGCGCCGAAATTTAAATTTTTGGGGTGTTCAACGCAGCCATGTTGATATTGTACAGAAGGAACGTTCGGAAAAGAGTGTCGCGAAAAGGAGAATCATGACTAGCTTTGGATCGAATTTCTGTTTTGACAGAAGATGAAGACATTTTACGACTCGGTACTGCGGTAGGTACAATTTATGTACAAAATATTTTTTATAGTATATAACATGTGTCCTTGAATGCTTCCTTAGTCAGGACACTACACATAAAATGCCTGACAATAAAATCGTTTGAGCAAGCGCTAGTTTAATTTTGTTATAATAATTTTACACTTCTATACATCTTTCATAAAGATGGATTTCAACCCGAGTTTCCTCGTTTGGGATCGAATTTTAGTGTTCCTCTCTTCAACATTTACAGAGTATGTTGTACAATGTAATAAAGTATATTTACTTTTAAATGCATGTTCAAGATCATTTTCAGCACTTATTTTGATTATTTAATAGTTTCATGCAGTGGACTGTGCCCGAAACGATTCCCACAGCGCCGGCGAATAGTCAGCTTGTAAAAATGGTGAGAACCAGCTCAAATTTTCATTTAACACAAATAACCTAACATTGTAAATTTGTTTTTATTAACTTGTATCTTTTAGCATAAAGCTATAAAGATATTGCATCTACTATATACCAAGTAAACAAGAGGTTTATATTCCTTATGGCTTATCCTAAAAATACATAACAGTTACAATAGATTCTGACGGGTAATCTAAACATGCTATAAATTGCACAGCTATGCATAATTATTTTACATAAATATTTAAGCATTAATTATTAAAAATAGCTATCATATTCTATGATGCACAATTATACATGCATTATTTTCAGGAATCTGAATGCTCACAAGAAGGACAAAAGCAGTATGAAAATTAACACAAAGGTAAGATCTCTTAAATTTTCTGATTAGAGCAATAAAATCACATGAATTGAAATTACATTTCTACACTTTACTGAACTGTCAGGTTGAACTAACCAATTGTCTTTAACAGTCTTGTAGAGCCTTACTTTATTATTTGTCATATATTTATGTTTATATATGCGAAAAATATCGATGATAATACATGCTAATGGTCATCTTTTGTTTCAGAAATTGTGCCAGAAAAGTTTGAAGTGTCTATGGGAATGATCAACAATGAACATTGAACTTCCTGAGCCTTTGTACTTAAAGTGAATCCGTTCGTGACATGACCAGTTATTTGGCTACCCTCTAACATAACGCCATCTTTTATTTATTTATTATTGTGAATTTCATGGGATATCTGTGAGGAAGTGATTCAAGCAAACACTTTAGAAATTTCGGATCTAACTTAATTAGGATCTTTGGCATATTCGGGGAAAATAGTATGTGTTGATTTATTGGATCTTTTTATTAATATAGTTGTGTAGTGGATATTTTTTACTTAACACATGTGTTTGTCACTCTAGTAAATGTAAATGTACATGGGCAACTGGAAGTTCATTGTAACTGTATACCCCGTTGAGGTTTCAGTGACCTCTCCCAATGTCATTAAGTCAAATGCCATATTTTAAAAAAAGAAATAGTTTGTTTTATTACAAAGAAATGTCGATCAGTGAGAATACTTTAAAAAAATGTGCTTACATTGTACATCTGTAAGTGTATATGTAATATTTGTTTCAAAACACATTGTAAAAGAAACTATTTTTTTTTTAATTTTGAAAATATAGATTTGATCTATGATAAATTGTGATGTTATCATTATTTCAGTTTTCATTGTATCTTCCTGGAATTTCTTAGATTTCCATTGAATTCCATAGATTTCCAAATATCCTTGTGCACAAATATGTTGAGCCAACATTGGGCCAACATAAGAATTATCATTGTTTGACATTGGGCCAACGTAGCGCCTGCATGTAGGAGCACAAATACGTTGGGCCTACATTGGGCCTACATCAGAATTATCATTGTATGACATTGGGCAAACGTAGCGCCAACATGTCGGTGCAACGTTGCGCCGATGAGCAAAATTACATTGGCCCAATATAAATTTTCCGACATTGGGCCAACATAACTGACAACAGTGGCCCAACATCGGACCAACGTAAGCTTGCTATCTGGGGAGGGACCATACACACAATAAACACAACTTTACTGAATGAAATACCCAGATTTGCTTCCTCTACATCTACGAACATGTATGGTGTTTCAAGACATTAATACATTGTTGTTTATCTAAATTGACCTGATTCCTCGCACTTGTACAAGCAAACAAACAAAAAGCATTAACTCATGCAAGCGGTATTAGAGGTCAGTATCTTAGATTAACTTACCTGAAATTGAGTTCAAGACTATTTCTTTCTTTGTGGATATTACATAATTATGTGGATTATATAAACCAAAAAGATTTTTTTAGCCATTGAAAAATTGAGTTTCACGAAAATAAATGTGAAAGGAGACGGTTTTAAGAAATATGAAATGGAAACGAATTTTTTTTTAAAAGGTTTTATTCGATCTGTATTTAAAGGTTTTACAAGCAACTATATATAAACTATATATGTGAATGTTGACATAAATACCTATGCAAACTGAAACTCTGAGTCTTTTAAACAACCTTGTGGCATTAAGATGAATAGAAATCTTGAAGAGTTTTTTTTTTAAATTCTAAATATTAAAGAAAATGAATAGAGTAAGAGTGATTAATGCATTGAGTGCCAAAAATTGTATTTTCTTGCACAAGAGAATTCATGTTTATCAATAATTATAATGATTCATTCATTCATAGATCGTAAAAATGTGAACAATAGTATAATCACCTGCGTGGACATATTTGGGATGTTGGAATGTAATATGGAGATAACGAACAGTAATGAATGCTCAAAAGTTTATTCAAACAATACAAAACTGGAAGACGGGGCTGATGGGTTCGGGTTAGTTGTCGTGGTTGAAAATCTCATTCCAAGAAAGGTAAGATTTTTCTACTTGGTAAATCAAATGTTGACCATTGTTTAAGTTTTTCAGGAAGAAGTTACTTCTTCACATTTGTATGAAAATGCGTAATTAAATACATAAAATAAGGTTTATTTTGAGAGGGTGCATAAACATTTATATGTATTTGCTGTATTTTTCTACTTTAAAAAAGTGAACAAGTAAAGCAGGGCATCATTAACTACATGTATGTGTAAAACGTACGTTATAACAACTTTTTCCCCTTCAATCCCCCGTTTGAAAAATCTGCCAACCCCCCCTTTGAAAAATTTCTAGATTTGCGCCTGTATCCATCCTACTCCGTTGCAGTGTGATAATTAATATGCAACGACTTTACTTTAGCCAATCTGTCAATACAAGGAAAAATACTGATTTATATGCATTTGTGTTCGTTAAGTCAATAGGTAAAGTATGTGACATGTCTTTTCAAGGAGGTAGAGGAGAAGCAGACAGATTGGCCCAAGTAAATCTTTCAACCTGTCTTTTTTTCATTTTATGCTTAAAATAGGTGGTACTTTCTCTTTTACATTCATGCTTTTATTTAACAAACATTAATTTTAGTGTTCGTTAAGTTAATACGTGAAGTAAATATTATGTCTTTTCAAGAAGGTAGAGGAACAACACCTTATCTTTTAATAAAACTCCTCATATGAACGACACCGATTTTTTCGACACATTCAGAAGGAACACATGACGTTGGGTCTATGATCACTTCTTCAAACCTTTCGGCATACCCCCATGCTGCAGAATAACGTGATATATGACGCTCTCGTATTTCCTCCTTTGTCAGATCTATAACTCGGGCCCTGTCTTTAAGCTTTGTTATATTTATCCGTACCACCTGTCTTATTCTTTGAAACTCATTCGTTAGGCTTCCTAGCCTCTCTATGCCATACAGTGTTTTGCAGCAGGAAATAAACCTCGATTCCTGGCCCTTACTTCCTCGTTCCACGTGTTGCTGAAGACTAATTCTAGAGAAGATGTTCTTTGGTCTAAGCCCATTATGATAGGTTTCGTTAAATCGAAGGATTCTATAAACATATTCATCAGGTTTCTGTTCTACGTCTTTTTCCTCATCTATTATCTGTATCGATGTCTCTGAAATTGTTTCATTACTTTCATCATCAGTGTTTATTGTCTCGAATTCCTCTTCCTCTAATTTCAATAAAGCATGTTCCTCAACAATTCTAGCAATTGTGTGAGCTCTTTTTTCAACGTTCTTCTCCTCGTCCCCTGATTTATTTCTGGAGTCATCATCGTTGTTATATTCAGTCTTGCTACTACTTTGTTCTTGTGAGTCAGCTAAATCTTTGTTCTCTATTTCATTATCGGTACTGATCAGATCATTTATATCAGCTAGATCAGTGTTCTCTAATTCTTTATCAGTACAGATCAAATCATTGATATCAGCTATATCGCTGTTTTTTATTTCTTTATCAGTACTGACCGGATCATTGATATCAGCTAGATCGTTGTTCTTTATTTCAAAACCAGTAGTGATAAGAACATTGATATCAGCTAGATCATTTATCTCTACTTTATTAGCATTTCTAGTCAAAAGATTCTGTACAGAAATGTCCCTTTCTTCCGATTCGTCATCAGCCTCATCAGTAAAGAAACATTTGAGTATTTTTCTCTTAAATCCTGTTTCTTCACTACTGGATCCTACATTAATATCAACATATAATATCTTAATATAATTGCGGAGAAAAAATCTACCATTTTTCTTACAGACATGAAAATGTTGAGAGAACAGTCATATTTTTAATATAATTCATAAAGATTTCGTAGGGAAAGAAAAACATTCAATATAAGGTTAAAAATACAAGAAAATTTCAAGTAGCATATGTAACAGTTGGAGTTTCTCGCAGTACCAATACAAACAGGATCTAAGAATCTAAACTATATTATTATTCTTTATTCCTACCTTTTCGTTTGGATCCTAAATTTTTCTTCATTTTAGCTTGACGAGCTCCCATGGCGCCTTTTTTGTTATCTACTTAAAAGATGGTATTAGGTGCTTAATGTGTATTTTGTCCAAAGGAATAAACATAAGTATACCGCAGAGCTCAGAGAGGTTAGGGGCTATTGATATTTTATTTTGATATATTCTAACCTTGTGTAATCAGTAACTGTTCAATAATTTACCACCGAAATATGCCTGAAATATTGACGACTCGGCGTTACATAAAAACAATATACAATCAATCAATCAATAGTTGATTTCTGAGAATTTTAATTATATGTATACAAGATTTCGTACACTTGTTTTTAAGTGTATTTATCTATCGCTTTCTCTGTATATCAAATAAAATTTTGTTTATGTATTTGTCAATCAAAACAAGATTTTTTTTTCGAAACAAAGGCGATTTGCATCATATTAATACTGTGAGTGAATCATTCAATAATCTGAAAATCATATAGATTACTCAAACGATACTTTAAAAACAAACAAATAGCTGGTAAATGAAATCCAAATTAAAACAAAACAAGTAAACTTTTGATGAACAGTATTGATTGTATATTATTTAACGTCCCTCTTGATCGACAGTGGAAATTAAGACAGAGGTAATTGACGCTTTTTAAATGGCTTTAATCATATGGTTTTGTTTGTTTGATTGTTCTATTTTTCCTTTCTTTTGGTCGGGACTTGAAGTCAAAATATTGAACATTGTATTGATTAAACAGCCAATTTCTTTTCATTTAAAAGATCGATTTTGAGTTTCCAGGAAGTAAATGCGAAAGCAAGTTTTGAAAATGCGACGTAATACTGTATTTACCACAGGAATTACCAATTACAAGGCCAAATGCATGCCGTCAATAAAATACTCGATCCATTTATAATTCAAATTTCACAGCTAAATGTAGCAATTTAATTTCCCAACCAATGTATTATATGTACATGGTGCGCTTATAATGATTTTGGTATTTTAAATTTAACTTTTATTAATATATTAATCTAACATTCTCTATACAAAAGGATCTATATGCATTTTATTATAATTGTTTATTAAAAAATTAATTATTTTAAAATTTTTTTTAAATTGTAAACTATTCTTTAAAGGAAAATAAAAAGCTTTTTATTTAATATAAACACACCGAAGGACCACACACATACATAGGACAAGTTTACTGAATGAAATGTCGATGCTTTTCTGTGCTTCCTCTACATCTATGGTGTTTCAAAAGATTGGAAGATGTTTCTTTATTACAAAAGACCTGATTCCTCGCACTGGAACACACAAACAAATATAGCAAAGACATGAACCCATGCAAATGGTTGAAGAGGGCAGTCCAACATATTCGTATCTTAATATAAACTTACCTCAAATTGAGTAAAAATCGACAATAAATCAGTCTTCTATATTCACTGTTTCTTTCCTTGTGCATTACATAATAATATGGATTATATAAACGAAAAAGGTTATTCTTAGCCATTAAAAAGATTGAGTTTCACGGAAATAAATATGAAAGGAGACGATTCTAAAAAACATGAAATGAAAACGAAATTAATTTCAAAGGTTTTATTCGATCTGTATTTAAAGGTCTAACAAGCAGGAACGTAATATGTGAATGTCGACTTAAATACCTATGCAACCTAAAACTCCGAGTTTTAAATAACCTTGTGGCAATGAGTATATGTGTTGAATAGAAATCATGAACAGTTTTTCAAAATTATACATAGAAGTACGTTTATTGGCTTATGCATTGCAGATTTAGCCGCATAGAACATTACTTTATGTACATTGATTAACAGGTGTTACGCAGGTGCTATTACATTTTTTTTTCATACTAAATTTCATTTTAAATTCTAAATATTAAAGAAAATGAATAGACTAAGAGTGCATAACCATGGAGTGGAGAAAAAGAACAAAATATGCATTTTCTTGCACAAGAGAATCCATGTGTTTCAATAATGATTCTTTCCTTTATAGATAGTAATTAAGTACACACTTGTGTAGCCACCTGTGTGGGTATTACTGCATGTGCACAGGTTGAAACATACTTGGAATGTTGGAACGAGATATGGAGATAAAGAACAGTAATAAAAGCCCAAAAGTTCATTCAAACAATACAAAGTTGGAATACGGGGCAGATTGGTTCGGGATAGTCGTCGTGATTAAAATTGTTATTTTAAGAAAGGTGAAATTTTTCTATCTCGTAAACCAAATGTTGATCATTGTTAAAGTTTGGATAACAGCAGATTTTCTGGGACATTTTTTAAATCTTTTTTTTAATTGTTAAGATATCGAACAGTAATAAGCCTCATAAATCAAGTAAACAAAATTAATCGTAATCATTTTAGTAAAAAGTTTTATTTATCATAGTTTCATCAATTTTCATAAAAAAGAGCTTTACCCCCTAATACTTATTTCACAAATTAAATATGATTATTATAAATACAAGCGTTCTGCATGTCCTGTTCATCCATCTTCTGAATGATGCTTTGAATAAAAGTTTGGGATTCAGAAATTTGCATAGGTTTGATTTTATAAGAGACAGTGTAGACATTAAATGTGACGGCAGGTGTGCAGCAACCGCTAATGATAAAAGGCCGCTGAATGAAAGAAATATCTTTACGCATAGCAATACAACGCTTAATATCATAAATAAATGTGCTAATAAATGACATGCTCATTCTCTTAATTATACAATTCTTTCATTAAGCGGCAATTTGGCATTAGCCTTGAAAAGGTAAACCATTAATGCAATTGTTTTTTTTTTGAGTTGCAACGCTTTATGATATTAGTACCATTAAGTGGCGTTATATCGTTAGCGATTGCTACACAGGTGTCACTGGACTAGTACTACATACCTCTTTACCATGCAGTTTAGTTATGATTTGGGTCATTTATGTCTTTAGTCAGATAAACATCAAAATAAAAATTCTAGGAAAAAGAGACTAATCTTTTTAAAGCTATTTTTAAATGTTGTTTGTTCGACTTGAAATAAAACAATATTTACAATAAAACAGTTTAATTTCGTAAGAACAGAAACTTGATTAGTGAAATTCAAAAAGGAACAAATAGTTACATGTACATGTATAAAAATACTCATTTTGCTATTTACATTCTTCAGTTATAAGATTGTATTTTAACTTCAAGTAAGCATTGATTTTTTAATATTATTGTTTAACATCCATTGTTTTTTTTGTTTTGAACATTTTTTATTGTATAATTTATACAATAGGATTTGTTACAAGTTCTTGCAACTTAAAAAAAACCTCTCTCTGTAATATATACAATAATTAAATTAGTGATTGCCAAAATAACAATTTAAGGTGTAAAGTTATACATATACATGATAATTACAAAATATTTCAAGTTAATACAAAATATTTCAAGTTAAGACACTTACTTAAGATTCAGAGTTCTTACAATATGTAGATCTATAATGATACATGTAAATGAATACAATTATAACAGTTATTTGGAAAAAAAATATATATGACAATAATGATAATAAATGTGACGCGCCAAGCAAAAACCTCCCTTAACGAAGAATTTTGACATTTTCAGTTTTTCATTGATTCTTGTAGAGTTTGTCTTTCTCTTTCGTTTGATGTATAACATGACATATATTTCTGTGTATAAATGTATAAAATATCGCACGACAAAAACGGAATATTTACTTTGACGTACAGTGTACGCGTGCGTAACTTCATGAATTTTCATAACGTAAAATCGTAAAATGACGTGAAGCTATATACATGTAATGATTTGATGAAATATATTTTCAAACATTTGATTTGTTTCCCTTAAAAATATCAATAATTAAGATTTTTAATCGTTATGATAAAAATAAACACTGTAAACTATATCTTTGAAAAATGAAAAGAAGGGGGGGGGGGCACCGAAATGATTGACAAGGGCAAAAGAATAAAACGTCACTCAAATCAAAAATCTTCTCTTCCTCTAAAAGCTATCCCAATTTATGTCTTTTTAATGCAAGAAAATGACAGACAACAGTAAAAGGAAATAAGCAAAATTTAGATGAAAAAAATTCAATTGTGGTAATACAAACTATACTGTGAAATCACAAATTTTCGTTGGGGTTTAATTTTCGTTGTTTTCGTGGCAAGAAGAAACCCACGAATTCATGTCCACCACAAAATGTAAAATATAACATACATTTCTATTCCAAAGTAACCCACAATACTTCACCCACGCAATCAAATACCAACGAACCAAAACTTTTTCCTCAAACAACGAAAATTTGACCCCACGAAAATATGTGATTTTACAGTATATGCTCATCTTCCTAAACGAGCTCGGGCTAGCATGGTAACCCTTAATCTCATTTGACTGGCAAGCCTGAGGCCTCGGGTTCAACCTCAATTAAGCAGAGGCACTTAATTATCTCTTTTACACTATCAAAGTAGTTATCTTAAAAAAGTTCGAGACAGCCCCTTACCACCCCCTCCCCCGTGCATTAAAAGTCTACACAATACATAGTATACAAAAAGAATTTTTTTGTCATAGTTTATGTATTAAATACCTGAGTTTTTAAAGAGTGCGATAGGGTTTTTTTTTCATCTAAAGGATACCAAATTTCTTTTACCACGTCTACTATATGTATTTACATGTTTTAATTTCGAATGTTTTACTACGGGAAAAAAGTATGCATCATCTCTAAGACTTTTTGGCTTATTGATAAGATATTCGGCATCCAGGAATAAATTGTATTTGTCTCGTGTATAGGAGTTCGATCCTTTTCTTCTTTGGATGTCGTTATGAAATCAGTCTTTAATTCACACGAGGAACTTGTAAGTTGTTAAACTTGTTACCAATCCACTTGTATATCTCAATAAATGTGTGTTCAAATCAAAAACAATTAAGATTAGGTGCATCAAATTTTAAAGTGTTAAATTAAAGTTTAAACCATTATTTCTTGTAAAATTTTAAACATTTGATTAATTTTTCCTGGCCCTCGATTTCTTATTTTATATTTATGCTTAAATTATTGAAAAGAAATATGTTTAGAATCAATTCGTAACTAAATGAGTTTGCATACTTTTTAGTAAATCAGTATGTAACACCCACCCCATCCAATAAAAAATATGTATATTTTTAAAAATATGGTTTGAAAAAGACATTCTGCAATTTATATGTATTATGAGGATGACCATGAACTAATTCTGACCGATTATTGTATACTAACCGAATAACAAACCACAATATCAGAATATACATATCCCACAAGTAACACACTCCACAACTTCATTTACATTACATGGACTATAAGGTCTATCCTAAACTTTACCGTTACCTTCCTGAGAAAGTACATGCACACATTATGATTTATATTAATAATATCAAATATTAGTTGCTTTTTAGTATTGTTCAAAATTGCAACAGAAAGTAAGAGAATGGGTAACACATTCTTCATATTCTACCATTATCGTAAAGGGGGGGGGGGGGGGGGGCTGTGTCTCGGCTATGAACATTCACGCTTAATAAATTACCTGAACTAATATTAGACAATTTCTTTATTGACTTTGACAAGAACAAGGCACACATGTACAATCTTAAATTGTAAGGATAAATATCCTTTCTCTTAAAACATAAAGCGTTTTGATACTTTTTGCACAAAACTCCCCATATGCATATGTACATGTATACTTGTACATGTAGGCATGTATGCATCGTCGGAAACCCACGGGTGATCTCGTCTTTAACCACGGGTGATCTCGTCTTTACTTATCACAAGACGAGATCAACCGTGGGTTTCTGACAGTGGCATGTATGTACAATGCGACTTACGCAGGAAAAAAATTATTGAAATTGTTTCAATTTGCTACATGTATTAAATCCCGTGTAATTGGTAGCACACTTTCATAAATTGAAATGCATAAACAATTCAACCGAAAGAAACAAGATTATTATTTTCCAAGGTAGATGTGAAGTCATAAAATGTTGGTAGTAAAATCTTTGTCGGGGAAATAATTATTACAGTTTTAATAAATCCTTAATATTGAAGGTTGAAATAAAATCATTAAAATGAAAATTTATAATTCTTAAATGTTTGATGTAAACCGCTATTCTGTTCTCAGTTCAAAGGGCTTAAAAAGCACCGGTTACTGCGTAACATTATGTTGTTTTCAGGAACCCAAAACGTTAAAGTCACCTCTTCACCTTATTTTTTTCTTCTTTGGTAGAAAAATCATGCTTACATGTAAAACATTGGCGTCGGAAGCAAATTGAAAGTGGGGGGGGGGGGGGCTAAGTGTAAAAAATAAATTAAACCTTCAAAAAAAAAAAAACCAGACAAGCAAAAAAAAAAAAAAAAAAAAAAAAAAAAGGGGGGGGGGTGTCCTTTCCACAAACACAAAAATCCTATTTTTTGTGGGGTGGGGGTGGGGTAGGTTCGAACTCCAGTAACAAAATTTTTTTTCCAAATACCCCGCCCCCCCCCCCCCCTCCCCCGTTCCGATGCCTA